AAGTTGAGTAAACCGATTACATTAAATTGAAGACAAGTGAGTGACGTGAATGCCATGTTCTCAAAGTTTGATGACCCACATAGCATGTAATCCATATACATAGTATCAAGACACCTAAGTAATCCCAACAAATCAATCGCCATCTGGGTTTTATTTTTATGTCCCATGAAAACTCCATTATTACATCACGGTCCAATACCTCAAACTCAGACACGGTAAAAATATATATATCATAAATTACTTATTACATAATCTTGCATCAACCCCTCCTACAGCTACACCCATAGCCGTAACAATAATGACCGGCGTAACACGGCGGCGGAACTGGGTAGCCAAAAGAACATGGTCCACAGCAAGTCTTTGGCGTGCACTTGGGCGGGGGCGGGGGCGGTATTATTACAATACACAATACACTGGATAACTTTTCCACCTTTGCAGCACAATTTGTCCCGAAATTTTTCTGGGCTGCAGCATACTACACTGATTGTGACTGTATTTTGCTTGACATCATAAGTCTGCCCTCTAATTTCTTTTGTCCCAAAAAAATTTACATCAAAGAATATAAGTCAGCTCCTATCACGCGCGTGCGCGCACATGGAATATTCGCAAGAAAATATGTATGTTCTTGTTCAGACATACGCAAAAACGAGCACAGAATATGGATGAATTTGAAGACTTACCAGGGAATTTGCAAAGAATTTTTTTGATTTTCTTGTAGCAGGAAGTACATTGGAGATCAACCTTTAGTACCATTTCAGTAACCTGTTACATGTGACAAACTCGATGAAGAAACATGTGTGAAAGACAAGCCCAAGCAGTGACATCAAAATCAAATATGATAGAACTTGTAATATTTTCATACCGTCTCAGCCATTAGTAGATGCGATATTCAGAAAAATCAGTTCACTCTGTCGATGTTTAAAGATGAGATAAACTTCTGGGACGTGAGAGAGAGAAATTATGGTACCATGTTGATAGAACAAGAAAGCTGGAACTTGTATAAAATGCGTGTCTC